GGCTTTTCAAAGGTAAAAAAAAAAACAAAAACAACCAAAATACCCCAAACCAACACCAAAAAACCCACACTAAAATTTATTAAACTAGAGGGGGAGGTCACTTGATCTGTGAACACAGAGGAAATGAGAAAACACTGATCAGGGAGAGGAGAAAGTGAGTCGTAGCTTGCTTACTTTCATGATGTTTGAAAGTTGTTTTATGTGACTGGTAAGAGCTGCACTGTTCTTCATAACATCAATGTGCAAATTAGCAAGGAAAGCTACTGTATTTCTGTCAATGCAGACTTGATCACTAGTATAGTACTAACACTTCACTCTCTTATGTGGAGTGCAGGGACTGTTGATCCTAAATGGACTTTTAAGTGGCTGATGTAGTAACTTCTAATAATGGACTCATGGATTTGAATCTAGAGTTAGGAGGTAACATTTGGATTTCTAGCACCATATGTTAATCCACTTTATTATGATTGCTCTTTTCTTTTTATTTAGGGGGTGATATGTCCAAGAACGTAAACCCATCTCAGCTGGCCAAACTGAATCAGCAGATGGCAAAGATGATGGATCCAAGAGTTCTTCATCATATGGGTATGTGCTGACTTTTTATAGCTTCAAGAGAGGACTGACTGAATTATAGTGGAGCATTTGAGATACAGAAGTGGGGAAGGGGATGGGAGACTATCTGCATTATATATTAGTATTAAGTATTTCTAGGGTTTTCTAACAATAATCAGAAAGTTTAGTCCAAATACTTTGCACTTAGCAGTGCTTAATCTAGTCTTTCATTTGAATTTAGCTCTCAAAATGAGCATTTGGAATGGTGAAGGATGTCTGTGGTAAAACAAATCTTCCTAGACTTCCCTTCTCTTCTAAGATTTGCCTCAAGTAATTAAATTTGACAAGAGCAACTTTATATAAGGACTCCCATACCCGAACCTTACTGATTGCTAAAAGTCATTCCATCAAGTTTTTTTCTTTTGTCTAGTTCTTAATGCACAAGTCATCTTAAAAACTACCTAAAGCCTGGTGTTTTTCAGACCTTCCTGTAATTACTCACTCCGTTCTTTATTTTCAATAGCTGTTTAAACCTAGTTTGACAGTCTTGGGCTTCTGCCTTTGTAGATTACTGGAATAGTGTGTGTACAGTAATGATGCCTCAAGCAAGAGAGCTGTGCTTCAGACTTAATTAACACATTCATGTTCTCACTTATTTTCTGCAGGTGGCATGGCCGGTTTGCAGTCAATGATGAGACAATTTCAACAAGGTGCTGCTGGGAATATGAAAGGCATGATGGGATTCAATAATATGTAAAGAAGCCTTAATACAAATGGACTTGGTTGACTCTTCATTGCAACTTCAGTGAATGAATTTGCTTTCTTCCTTTTTACAGTGATGAGAGAATGGTCTTTTGAAATCTTATTCAGGCTTCTCAGTTTCTACATCTAATTTCTGAAAACTATTTTTGCTTAAATTAGTTCATCTCCACTAATAACTGATGGCACAAAGAGTAATTCAATTTAATAAAACAAAATCATGATGTAAAATTTTAATATTTAGAGACACTTTTTAATCGTTTACATCAAATGGCAGCCATTATATTTGTAAACAACCCTGATCTTTGGTTATAGTAACATAAAATGTCACAAATATACTGTAAAATAAAATTTAAGTGGTTATAAACAAGGGAATGGCCTGTTTCTTCAGTTCCTTTTAACTGTCCTTTATCAGTATGTAATGACATTATTTTCTTAGTTTGATTTTTTTTTTTTTTTTCCCTAAAGACTTTGGCATAGATACTATAAGAATAGTTCAGTACCTGAAAATATGCTGTTGGTGCTCATCTGTGAGACATTTTAGAATGTGGATGTGCTGTGCTCAGGTTTGTACAAGACTTTGTTGTATAGAATTTCATCCTTCTTCCCCTATACACAAAAAATCAAGGGAGTGAAAAAATACAGGCATGCAGATACCAAACTGTCTCATATACTGATCGTCATACCAGGCTGCCAGTTAAGTAGTTCTTTTGTTCTGGAGATAATTTCTAAAGCATGTTAGGTAGAATTCTGTGCTGGTACTGAACTTTAAAAGAGAGATAGCTGTATCTAACAGAGCATACTACCCTAACTCAGCTGCAGTCTGATCTTCATTTCCTATAGCAGTTTGGTATTTCAAGCACACTTCAGAAAGTAGGTAAACCAAGATGAACCTTGAAATCCAACATAGAACTTGGCAAATATGGTGAGATCTTTTATCTTAGGGTAAGAGGGTGTATTATAAATTTTAATACACTGCTGTAATTGGTTTGTAAATGGACACCTATTGCTGCTGTCTAGATAAAAGATAAATGCAGTAGTTAAAACAAGTGGGTTCCTCTTGTCAGCCAGTTCTCTGAGATGGTGGCAGCTAATAGGGAATGTCTTATATACAAAATTATACTCTTGCACTAATAAAACAAGCTATGCTGTGCTCTTAATTTATGATGTGAAGCTATCTCCTGCTTGATTAATGGTATGTGTTCAGTCTGGAGTATGCTGAAAAATCTTCAAATATGCCATCTTACCTAAATGCACTGCATTTTATGCATAGCATTAATCTGTAAAAGAATCCGTTAAATTGAATATTTGTATTTTAAATATAACAAAAGAATGAGTCCTTGCGTATCACCAGCTTGGTGGGGAGCTGTCCTTCGCTACTGAAGTAGTGTGCTTACTAAAACCTGATTTTTCTTTTTTATAGCAATTTCAGTTCTTGAGCAGTATTAGCCAATGCAATATGCAAAACCATGCAGGAAAGAGTATGAAATCTTGGTTTGAAATGCAGTCCGTAGGGGAGAGTGGATGGTTAATGCTTTTGATGGAAATCAAACATGAATAGGGATATTGAGGATGAACAGTGAAGCACTGTGCTCCAGGACAGGCTCAGTCAGACTGTCAAGTTACCAACAATTAACTCTATTTTCAGCTTGTGGCCTACATTTAGTTTTAACTTTCAGTTCACCATTTACAAAGTACTAAAACTGCAACCAGATAAGAGACCTGTCACTAGCTGCGTGTTGGCAGAGACAAGGGCAAGTTGAGAATGCTCATTCCAGCATATATCTTAGAAATAACGACACATATTTTAAAGGAAAGGAAAAGTGTATATTGCTCTTTCCTTTGCAAGCCATGTAGAAAATACTTTGGAGCCTGCTTAGAAAAATTGCCTGAAGATCTCAAGTCTGGAAAAAACCACATCCATGATGGAGGCACTAAGAACAAGAGTTCAGCTGTATAGGAGCATGTCTACATGGATTGATGACTTACATGGCCTTTCCTAGCTTGATGCAAATAAAACTCTCCTGGCAAATGTCTAACAACACTCCCAGCACCATTTTCTTGCATTAGGGTTTTTGTACTCATCCTCTATGGCATCTCGGAGAAGTTTTCTCTAGTACACAAGAACCTTGTAGAGCTAGAGTCAAGCAAATGAAATGCTTAGAGGTCTGTCTCGCTGTGTGTATCTTGCTGAAAGCTGTTGCTGCTGTCAGACAAGCTTTTGTCTGAGCTGTTTGAGCTCAGGCTGCTGCTGAGCAGCCTACTAAGAGGAAATGGTTATGATGGTCAATAGACATCTGTGTGATAGAAGCTGGACAATTAACTATTAGCACACAAAAACAGCTATGGCTTTGTTTAACTCTTTATGTTTCCATAGGACTTTCAACATTAATGTGCTAATTTTATTAAACTTGTCCAAACTGCAAATACCAATTCTTCTGGGACATGAAACATTAAGTTCAGTATGACTGTTCAGCTGCTATAACCACAGTAGAGGTGGAGGAAAGCAAAATTGTTGGTTGCTGTTTCAATGCTGCTCTTGAGGAGCTGTAACTCTATTCCAACCAGTCCTTCACTGAACAGAATGTATACTCTGTTGAGGGTAAGAAATATTTATGTATCCTAACATTAGTTTGTTTCTTTGCAACTTTAAGTGATATATATTCGTCATAATCCCTTAAGCAGATACTCTGTTTAAGCTCCGTACTCTAACCTTTCATTCTGTAATCATACGCTGTATGTCAGACAAGGGAACATTTTCTGCCTTATGCTAGTATAATTGTTAGTCTGATGCATCTGTACTTTACCTGGGCTTTTGTCATGGGCTCTGGATTATGCTTTGATAATATGACTAAGACGGTGTCCAAGAGCCCATATTGTACTAGAGTGTAATTTTTTGGAAACTATTCTTAATGTTAGAGGGTTGAAAGATGGCTCTTGCTGTCATGTAAGTGCATATTACAGTCATTGGCTCCGCCTCACTCCCCCTAAAATTAAAACGGCTCCCTTCTCAATCCCATAAAAAGAATGTTTCAGATGCTTCCACCTCCAGCTGTTTTCACTGGTAGTTGACATTTACCAATGTACATTTTGTCGGGCTCAGCACACACTGGAGGCAGAAGGGCTCCCACCTCTCCCCAGGAGCAGCTGAGCAAACCTCTTACCTGGCAAACACTTCTCTCACCCTTCTGGGCACGTATGTTATTTTCTTACCCAGACGCAGCTCAGGGGCCAGGGCACTCTTGGTGTACATTCGTTTCTTGTTCAAGGGTTCTTTCTTTACAAAGGGCTGAATTGCCTGAACCAACACCCAATCCTGCAAGGGTGGTCCTGGGCTACTAAGTCTCCTGGCTGCTGTCAAGGAACTCCACCTGCTTCTTAAAATATTATTGTATTATTTTGCAGGGCTTCACATTATTTTGGGGAGGTGACGTGCGTGTTACCCCAAATCGTGTGCTTTTCCCTCAGTGCAGTGGCGGTACGGCTGTCCCTGGCATCCCGGCTGTCTCTGGCCTCCCCTGCCTCCCTCCCGGCTCCGGTTAGTGCCGGGCTGCGCAGAGAAGCGAACCGCCCCGGGCGGTGTGAGCGGTACCCCAGCCTCAGCGGGGCGGCTCCCGGCCGCCGTGCGCTCCATCCCCGCGGGCCGCAAGCACCGCCCCGACGGGCGGTGTGACGGGCGGCGCCGCCCGGCCGCTCTCGCCTCCCCGGGCCGCGGCGGGCCCGCTGCCGCCCTCCCCCGGCGCCGCGGCGGGCGGGAGGATGGAACAGGGGCTGTCCGCCATCACCCTCTACTGCGCGCCCGCGGCCGGCGCCATGGAGCCCGAGCAGGTGAGCGGGGCCGGCGGGGCGGCTCTCCCGGGGGCGGCGGGGCCCGGGCGCAGCCGTTTCCGGAGCGGGGCGAGGCGGCGGCGGGTCCGGCCGGGGTGTGGTGGTGTCCGCGGCCTGAGCTCCCGGCGGCGTGCGGGGCTGGGGGAGCCCCGGGTCCCCGCGGTGGCGGTGGGCTGCAGTGGCCCGGCCGCGGTCGGGAGGTCTGTCTGTCTGTCAGCCCGTGTGCCCTTCCATCCAGCGCGCTGTAATTACAGTCAGCGCGGCGGGCACGCGTGTCTCCGGTGCCTCCTGCTCGTCGGCGGACAATGCCTCTGACAAACGAGCCTGATGAATATTGAAGCGAGACAGGTTTCCACTTCCCTCCTGTCAAGTTGGCGAAGGCGTAGGAGGTGATCAGGTACAGCAGCTCTTAATTACAGTGCAGCCGGGCGAGCTCGCCTGTCCCTGCCGCGGCCGCTCCTCGCACCGGCCTCGGCTTCGCCCTGGGTGTTGTAGGCGCTGCCGCTGCCCCTTCCCCGGTTATGGTGCCTTTCCAAGGCTTGTTTGGATAGTATCTTTTCTAATAGTCGTTCTCCGGCTCTGTCATCTTGATATCTTTTGTTTCTGAAAGACTCGTGCTGTTTAATTTCAGTTGAAACACCAGGGTGGAAAGTCAAACAAGCAATATGAAAAAAACCCCAAACCACTCAAGTCTAAACAGCCCCTGCCTCCGAAACCTAGCCAAAAAAATTATCAAAAAATCAGCAAGATATCTAAGATAGCATGGTAGAAATATTTTTCATTAGCCATTACCAGCCTTCTAGTGACTAGCAGAGTCAGGTCAGTAGACCTGTGCAAATGGAATTACTCATCTTTCTCACGGAGAATGGACATCACACAGTTCGGTGCTTTGGGTCATAAGCTCTTAAAAGGATTCCTGCATTTGACAGGTTAAAAGATGCCAAAGTGAATAGCCTCGTCTCCCTATTACTTTTTGCTTTTCTTCTTTGTCTCCTTCATGAAACTTTATGTTATTGCATCACCTAATACTACTTGTGTCAGCTCTCCCAGTTTGCCTGCAGGTGTCCAGGCACACCTTATCGTTAATTGTCATTTATTTATTTTGGCATTTTATATGTGGACTAAAAGTCTATTGTGCTGGGTATTGTATCAGCACTGTCAAAAGATCCCCTGCTCTCTGTTTCTGGACAAAGGGTGAGATGAGTGGGTGTAAAGAAGGTAAACAAAGAACATGAGTTTCAGATCCTGACTGCCTGACAGGCAAGTTTTGTATGCGTGCCATAAAGCCAAGAAAAATCCCAAGAGGACATTTGAAAGAAAGGGGAAGTTGCCTTGCAGTGTTTGCCGAGTACCTTAAGAGTGTTAGCTAGTGTGGCAAAAGCACAAGAGTGACATAGTTGCTGGAATAGCAGCCAAAGTAAATACTTCTGTGACGTGGGCACAAATGCTGAGTCTTTCAAGACCATATAATGTGTTAGAGAAGGAGGAGCCTGTGAAAAAAAAATGAGGTCAGAAACCTGACTAAAGCCATGCACTAGAAGAAATATCTTTGTAAAAGCTTCCTAAATTGGAAAAGAAGATTGAATTTGTAAAGGAAGATCAAAAGTATAAATTCTCAGACAAGAAATCCTGTAACATTTGAGCCATAAAGTGAATCTAGCTGATAACTTTAGAATAGATCTGCATTGCCACAGTTTTGGAAAGATGAAATTTATTGGTGCTGAACTTTCTGCTCTGGGCGAGTTGGCTTTTATTGATGCTGTGCAGGTAAAACTTAAAAGGCCAGTGATGACTAAAACCCACACTCAGATTTGTTGACTAGGTGATAAGCAAAACAACAGATGACATACATTATTTTATTTAATAATGTAGGACTTTGAGCCAGATTACTAAGGGAACCAGATTCACTGTTCCTTGGTGCATCCTTGCTGTCTTTAACTAGTGTACTTGTCTGAAATGTAGCAGTACTGGATTTGTAGAGCTGCTTACTGTAGGTAGTGTGAGTGTGGGATGGGTGTTCAGGGAACTGAAGCTTGCTTTTAAAACTTGAAATATTAAACAAAATTTTTTTAAAGTTAAAATAATTCAAGCAGTTGTACTAAATTAGCCAAAATCAGATGAAGAGACTGCTTTTAGAGGAATTCTAAGGAGGGGCTCACATTGCTTGCTGTCATTAATCACAGTGATATTTATGATGTTGTGTTTGAAAGAAACAGTGCTCTTCAGTACTGTGACTAAATATAAAAACAGTGTAATTGTATGACGCCAATAAAGGAGTGTGGAATGTTCATGAAGAGCTGATTCTGTAGTGCTTTTTGCACAAAAAGATACAGAACCAAGTCACGGGAAGTGGCACTTCTATAATGGCAGCTTTTATAATGGCAGCAAGGAGCGCTCCCCCGTGCTCAGGTTGCTTCACTGTTTTCAGCATTTGTGGTTTTGTAGCTTTGCTCTGTTCCCAGGACAGCAGAGAGATTGCGCTGGGCCCCAGGTAGTCAGTTTTGTCTTTCTACATGAAAATGGGATTCTGCCTGAAAATACAATCCTGTTTCAGCTGACTTACCCCATTGAAAACTTGCTGCTGGATTCTGCTCTGCTCCTTCAGGAAAATGCCTAAAATGTGCCACCATGGCTAAAGAAATGCTGGGGGAGGCTGAGATGACTTGCAGTTTTCAGAAGCAGTGGTACAGGGCTCGGAGAGATGATGAATGGGTGCGCTCCCTCTCCGCACTCTGGAACTCTGCACGTGATCCTCCTTCCCTCCCGCTTTTCTGTGGGCATGAGAGGAATCCGTGGCTGGAATGAAGGATGCAGTTCTGCTCCCCAGGACCCTCTGCTGCCTCTCTCTCCCATGCCCACTGTCTTTCCTGGCTAGCCAAGCCTGCTTGCCTTGCAAAGCTGTGCTGTGTAATCTAGCATGAGAGGTGGGGATGGTGATGCTGCACAGCAATTAAGGGATGTCTTAAAACTCCGTGAAAAAACATATATTTTTATTTATAATCCAGAATTGTGCTCTGTGGAGATCATTAGGTTTGTGTAGGAAAGAAGTTAGAAATTGGAATGCATTTTATGCAACCTGGATTCTGCAGACACTACGCATGTCATTCCTTATGATACAGTTTCAAATTACACCAGCTCATGCATTTTTAAAAACCGTCATGGTACATTAAAAACATATGGTTGGCATTTCCTAACCTCTGTGGCCTTCTCTTCATGACAGAAGTGTTTTCAGCAGTTTTGTGCATTTGATGCAGTAGCATCTGAAGCTTTTATCAAGATGAAGGCTCTATTTTGATAGCTGCAGTACAAAACCTTACTAAAATTCTCTGCCTGCAGGACTGACTAGCCTAAAAATTTATTGACTGGCCTTTGAACTGGAAGTATATATTCTTAATGCTTGTGACCCAAAGACTGCATTGTAGCATTCAGCAGCTAGAGAACACAGATAGACATTGTACTTCTCACTTTGTATGTTCTTAGCCACAAAACTAAGTGCTGTTCTTTTACCCTGGTCCCTTGTACTAATCGCAGTTGCTGATGAAAGCCCACAGGGGCAAATTCTTTGGTGCATCTTTTTAAAGCTTGAGCCTGGCTGCTTAGTTATTCAGTTCTCTTTTGTGTTAGAGGTGTCTGGCTGCACTTGCAAAGAGGTGGCTACAGCCTATGAACTACTTGATTAATTTCATTAGATATTAATTCCAAACCCAACAATACTTTTAAATACTAAAATTTATGTGCTTATCAAATTATTTAATGAAATGTGCTCCACCCAGAAGAAACCTCTGTGTTACTTTTAGAGAAGGGATCAGTTTTTACATATCTGCAAACAAGAATGTTTGTCTTTTACGTACAGGCAAGCTCTTATAAATGTCCACTCTGAATGCTAATCCAAAATATTTTAAATATCTCATGAAGTTTGTTAAGGGGGAACTTTTCAGTTCCAGAAGCATGTACTTGAGATAATGATTTTTTTTTTCTTTATAGCAACTTTCAAAGGGAGAGAGTGGCTTTGAGAATGTGGAACTGGGTGTCATAGGAAAGAAAAAGAAAATCCCAAGGAGGGTTATTCATTTTGCAAGTGGAGAAACAATGGAAGAATATAGCACAGATGAAGATGAAGATGAACAAGAGAAAAAAGATCTGTTGCCACCTGTGGATCCTGTAGGTATTTTACTTGATAAATTGCTACTTCTGGTTTACTGGACAGCTATAAACATTTTATACTTAATTTTTTGTGTCACAAATCTGATACAGTCTTTAGTATTATAAATTCTAGTAATTTGATTGGCTTAACTGACTTGTAAATCTGCGGAAAGTATTACTGGGAAGTTTTGTCCTGGAGTTCTCTTCCACTAAAGTAGCCTTATTAATTAGGAATGGGTTTAATTTCTTGACAGTTCTAGTTTGTCCTCCCCAGCATTTTAATTTCTAATAATAATTGCCTTGTGTCTCCTTGATTTGTACTGTTGTTTAAAAAAAAATTGCAAGGGAGACATTTTTTTCCTTATGTTTGTTGACAGTGGAGATTTCAACCTGCAACTTAGGGTTACCATAACAACAATTTGATATAATTAAAAGAGTATAGAAGGGAAAGAAACAGGTGAGTTGCAGAAATAAAGGAAGACTGGTGTAATATATGGAAATCAGATTTTCAAGGACCTGCCTAGTCCATGTAAGTAATGTTCATCTGTGTTGTAAATTGTTGAGATGTTGCTCAGCCTGTGAATGGGGTTTCCTTTTATTGGTCCAGATTTCAAGTGAAGTCTCAACAATTAAAGCCAGTGGTGTGCATTGTAGCTGCTAAAACGCATTTTTATTTTTGTCAATGATTCTGGGTCTATACTTAGAGGTAAAATGAAATATATAATCTGTTTCATTTTGCTGACCTGCTGATCTGATAAACTATTTTGTAGTGACAGTGTGACTGCAAAGCTTACAGCCACATGTGCCAACACCGGTGGCAGCAGCTCCCCACCCTCTAGAGTCAGTCCCAGAGAAGTTCTACATCGTGCTCTTCAGCTCTCCACATGCCCAGTCTCATGTTTCTTTTATGGCAGCCACAGAAACTGGTGTCCCATCCACCTCTACCCTTCTGCCTACCAAGAAAGAGGTTTGCTTTGACTGTCAAGCAATACCTCTCTTCCCCTCTGTAAAATTAATTTGTCTTGAAGAAGAAAAAGGTCTCCAGTGAGACTGTGGGAATTCAGGTGGGACTGGGGGTTCCACAAGTGAAGCTGTTGCATTGTGTTTTCTATGGATTGATGGCATTGCTCTCTTTCTTGGTAGGCAGTTATTGTATACAACAAAAAACAACATTAGCCTGATAGCAGATAGGATATTATCACTGTTAAATACACACAAAGTATATAGTTGGAAAAGAACTGTATTATAGTCACAAACAATGAGTAAGATGTTAAGCTGCCTTGCTGAGTACTAGGGTGGTTTTTTTCCTCCTTGAGGATCTTCTCAAATAAATGCAGGAGCTGTGAAACTTACTGGCTATTATGGTAATGTTCAGGTATCTTCAGAGCGAGGTCTGTTCCCCACTAGGCAGTTATGTCAGATACCCGTGGATGTCTGAGACATTTCTGTTCCAAATTATAATGATCAGGGAACAAGATGTATATTATTTTTTTGTACAATTTCCTGACGGTAGAAGAGCTCCATGGTAATGCAGTGATGGAAGGCTCACAAGCCTTGGTGTAGGTGTTGTGAGGGCAGAGACATGTGTGCTGCTGTGCAAATGGACACTTAACTAAAGAGCCCTCAAGTGGCCACAACAGCCAGGAATGCTGCGTGATTGTTCCCCTCCACTGCTAATACAGATTTCATTTCTGAATACCAAAAAGTATATTGTATGGTGGAGTTAAGATTGCGTTGTTCTCCTTTTATAGTTTATTAAATCCTTAATTTTGAATACACTTTTTAATAAAAGGACCCCCCAAATCAGAATAGTTTATTGTGGAGCACACTACGCCTTATTATGCATTGCTTTTTACCTCGGACAAAATGAACTTGATTAGAGCAAGAGTTGCCATTAAGTGAGGTTTACTTTATCTCCTGCATGCTTTGTGTATCCCAGCTGAGCCAGACAATTGAAGAAATGTTAGTCCAAGCTGAGCTTTGATGTTTTAGCCAACAGCTGCTTTTAAAGTGTTATTTTGTAGAATTTCTATAAAAGCAATTAAATAGTCTGTTTGCTGAGACCAGCATGTCTAAAACTTGTTATCTCAGTTGGGATACAAAAAAGTATGTTGCAAGTAATAGCTGTTTCTGGACCAGTTTATTTTTGGAAAAAGCACATTTAATATTTTGAATGGAAACTTTCCATCACGAAATTTCAAAGCTCTGCTGGTTTTAGCATCCTGGCAGTTTTTGAATCAGTTTGAGGGAAACAAATATTTTGCTATGTTGTAAAGAAATGTCTTCAGCAAGTACCTTGGTTTAATTGTGTTTTAGAACTAAGCAGGTAATGCTAATGTGTTTCTTACTAAACAAAGTATTATGTATATATCCTGGTAATACCATAACCAGAACACTTGGTGTGGTGGGTTCCTATTACTCATAACAAAACAAATTCTCAAAAACAACTGGGTTTTAAATTTTCTTTGAAACAACTTCTGGTGCTTCTACTGCTCAGCACTCAGTTCATTAACATTGTTGGACTGGGGTGTCCATTCTGCTGTGTTTTGTATTTTTTAATCCAGAACACGGGATATTATTTTTCAGATAATGGCATTCAGTATTATCTGAATGTTCTCACACTGAAATTCAAATGCTTTAGCAGCATAAATGTATTTTTGATTATTTTGTCCTAAAATGTAGATGTTTGCACTCTGTATGTGTATTTTCTTTTGTTTTTGCCCACCAAAACTTTATTTTGTATTAATTATGAAGATAACCCTTCTGTTTCTCCCTGGAGGGACACTTGGTGTAAACTCTTAGCTGCATTCACATATTAGATGAGTAGACAGAAGGTGTAGTGTAAGCCTTCACAGAGGAACTGTAAGCAACATATGACCAAGAAGACATCTGCAACAAAGCTCCAGGAGAGATGTAATTTTCTTAACCATGAATGCTCAGAAAGATTGAAACACATCCTTGCAGGAAGGTTATCTTGGTATCCTGTAGTTAAAAGGGCCTTAACTTCAAATAGCAAAAATTCCTTTCTTGAGGACCATCACATTCTGATTTTCTTTTAAGAACTTGAGGATGAAGGAGAAAAATGGTTACTGACTAAGTAATAACTACTCATAATATGGTAGAAGCTCTTGATGGAGGATGGTGTGTGTGTTCCGGATCTTGTTTCCACTGACTTAGGTGCCAATGTTGTAGCATTGAACAGTCATTGATTAAACTAATTTAAAATTTATCTTGGCACAGTAAACAATGAAAAGGTATCTATTTGGTGGTGTATATTAATTATTAAATACAGGATATTTTTTTTTCCTTAATCAGGAAATTATTATTTTTCTCATTTTGCCATTTTCTCTGACAAAAATAAACCCTACATGCCTTGGAAAGTTTAAGTGTTATTAGGACTGAAATCTGCCAAAAATAAATACATATGTGGATTGTTTCGGAACATGGTGCACTCAGAAATTCAAGGGAACATGTGTGCTCCCTTCGGCAGCCCCATACTAGGGAACAAAATCATGTTCTGTTACTGAACCAGAGGCCCCTTGGTTTTACCAATGATGGAATCCATTATGTTAATTCCTATTTAAATTAAAATTACACATTAAGATATTTTGTAATTTAAAAATCAGTTGTCAAAATCATTGTGTTTTCCATTTTAACAACAAAATAATTCAGGATAGCTGAATAATATTAAACATTGTAGAAATGTCTACTAAAGGCATTGATTGCTAGAGAAATACAATAAACACTGTATGTGTTTCATACTGTCCCATGTTTCCTTTCAAGAAATACAATATTGCTGTGTCCTTGAGTTGATTAAAGACTGAAGATTAAGGCTTCTGTGGCTGGCCAAAGGAAGCTGATATACAGTATCTGGGTATGTGGTTCTGCAGGTCTGTAGGACATGACTTGGGTATGGTTTTCCAGTTTCCAGCTCAGTGTATCAAAGCTACTTCACAGACAAGGATTAATTTGATCAATGTCATGTCACTCGAACGGTTCCAGTTCCCCCACACCAGTTCTTGCCTCACATCTGCCATTTCTGCTTCCATCTCTGAAGTGCTCTGGGAAGGCACCCAAATTTACCCTGAAGAGGTAAAAGGGGGAATGCATGGAAAAAGAAGGTGATTCCTTGGATGCGTTTCCTTGCTCCTGGTTGTTCCTGGTGTTTTATTCTGCAAAGCATCTCCTTTCTCCTGTTGATTTCCTGTGAAGTACCCTCTCTCATGATTTTTATATTGCCTTTTGAGACACTAGAAAGAAAGTTATTTTCTTAATTGAGGAGTCTGGCAAAGCCTTGTTTGTCAGGGATGAGGAAATGTCTGGTTGGGCTTTGTCAGAAAGCAGAGGTTCCCACAAAGCTGAACTTAGAAGTGCTTCCAATGTACCAAACTGATTTTTAGCTGTGGTGGGGGAAGAGTAGGAATAGAACTTCTGTGTCTGCTGAGCCTCAGCTGTTACCCACATTTGTGTTACCACAAACTTATTAGAATGTTCTGGGTCTAAGTAACTTCTGTCACGTTGAAGTTCAGCTTGTCTTTTCACTCTGCAATATTACAGGAGCTCTTGTAGCTTCTTTCTTACAGCACACAGCAGGCCCTTGTTTGTCCTGTGCCCTGCATGAATGCTTTTTAACCCTGTCACCTCATCATGAAGGATTGTACAGAGCCCTGTCAGTGCCATTATTTGCACCTGTGGCAACAAGCTTTTCCAGCACTTTCTTTGATTTCAACTGGGCAAACTCCTCGTTAGCCTGTCTGCCAGCTGAGCACATAATCAATGAGCTGGAGGTGCTTTTGTGTGAGCAGGATAGCAGCTGGTTTTGCTTACACTTTTACCTTGGCAGGACATTTTCCATATCCTCTGCCAAAAATATATAGCAACTGGCTTTTTGTCAGCCTGCCCAACTTGAGTTTCTGGCGTGACAGACAATTTCTTGCTGCACTGATTTGTAGAGACTATGCTTGGAAAGCACCAAAGTCTAGTAGCTTGTGTACATGCATACTGAGGCTATACCAGGTAATTTCTGTACCTGTATTGTATTATTTACAATAATTTTGGCTGTTTCTGTACAGATACCTGTTAAATAAGACCATAGGAAAAGGTTACTGACAAGCAGTTCTTAGCAGCAAGCTATAAATACTTGTGTAGCTGAGTAGACCTAATGTGTTTTATTTAATAAAAGCTGACACTTTTAGTTGCTACTTTCCTGAAGAAAAGTACTTCTACTTCACTAGAGATCTTTTTTGGGGGAAAATATGTATCGAAGACTTGCCTGAATACAACAGCCTGTTAACTATAAATAGGTTTTAGTTCACTATGAAAGTTGAATTTGCCTTTTCACAAAAGGGAAAGCCTACAATTTTTCCCCATTAGCTTGGAATCTGCTTTTTCCCTTTTTATTACATGGTTTTATTTGGTTTTCTAAACAGATACAGTCTCTTCCATTGATGAAAAGCATAGCCTGTGAACACACATTATTTTATAATTAATTTAATTCTAAATCTTTAATTTACAATGTATATATCTATATATCAGTTTATGTGGAGACTGCAGTATTTTTGCTGTAGCTTTGAATACACTCCAGTCGTGCAAAGAGAAATTACTTTTCTTTGTCTATCTGGCCAGCCCTTCCTAAGGAGTCTGCGTCCCTCCACAGCAGCCCTCAGTCCATTCACTGCATCCCCGGGATCCCGACGAGATCCTTCCCCTGCAGCTGCACACAGATCTCCAGTTCCCCCTGTTTCTGTCCCATCTTGTGTGCCCTAGTGTGCAGGCTCTTCAGAGGGACTTCCTTACATGAAAATGCCTGAGGTGGCCCCAGCTGAGCCCTGTTTTATTCATGTTGTGTTCCTGTGGTTCACATCACCCTGGGTGCTTTGCTCAGCAGCCTCCCCATCCTCCCCCAGAGCTGCGGTGACTCCCCCTTCCCTCGGGGCTCCTGGCTTAGTTTTTCGGGTGTTGTTTCAAGGGATAATTCCTATTTGGTTGTAAATGCTTGAAAGCAGCCTCTTCTTCAGAGGTTTGAAGGTTTGGTTTGATTTTAAACAGTCTTTTGCAGTTGACTCATTACTGTAACGAGGGACTACTTTGTTACCTCACTTCTCCTCTTGGACTGATGGAATTCAGAATGTTGTGCAAAGGTTTTTCTAGTCAGGGATTGAGTTGGCTGCTTGTCATTTCCCAAGTCTGGAAATAGGAAGCAAAAAGCAGTGAAAGAAATTTTCCCAGAGGTAAACCATGGTTATATTTATATCTTATGGTGATACTTTGCTTCACTTATCTGGTCTACACTTATTTTAAAGCAAAAACATAGTAGCTGGAAAACAAAAAACATTGCAGGTCTTTTTGGGGTTTTGCATGTGTTATTTTGTGCCGTGACCATACAGCTGTACGTATTCATACTACTCTTGTTCCTGCAGACAACACTCACATGGGGACCCTACTTGTGGTTTCACATGCTGCGAGTTGCCACATCAACCTTATCAGGTATTGCTTTATTTAATTCTAGGGTAAGCCAGAAAGGGAATATTGAAAGTCACAAAGTCATGTTGACAGACTGTAAATCATCTTTGGGTTTTACTTGTTGTTTTTTCAGAAGGATGGTTTGAGCTGCATTTAATCTGTGGAGACATACTCTCCTGCCTTGGGCACTTTTAAATTTTATTTTTTTTTTACTTTCAATAAACAACTCTTGCATGGAAGAATGAGCAGAAAATACTACTTTTTCCCCTTTTTCTTTGTATGGATGTAGATTGATGTTGGCAAGGGAATATATTTGTTTTCTATTAGATTTTGTATGGAACCATTTTGTGTGATGTTACCTGAAAAGAATGCTGTCTGGTATAACTAAACTAACAGTTTTTCTGAAGACAACTAGAAAGCATCCCAAGAACACATCTAGTTGTGTGTCGTACAATGAACTTCTGTGGTTACAAAATAAACAGGATTGTTGTCAAGGGTCTTAAACTCACTGCACAGACATTTATTTGATTCGTGGCCCTCTTAAAATTTAGCAAAGTTTTGAAAATGCTTGTCATAGTCTGTGTTCTTTCCAAGGTGTTAAGTATCTTTACTGGGTTTTTTTTCCACAAATATTATGGAGTTTCTGTCACTGTACACATAATTTTGAATACTTCTACGTTTTTGACAGTCTGTTATATTAGTTAACCTATCCTTAATTTTAGAAACACTTTTCCTCTAATGTACAATGAGATTATATTCCTTGACGCATCTGTTCTTCATACGCAAGGGTAGATATTGCTTTCCTTTTTTTAGAAGTCCTTTATGAATTTGAAAATCAGTCCTTCCTTCTTTGCACTTCAGTTTTGGATCTTACATCTGTAATTTGAACTGATCTTTTGCACAGCACTCAGCATGCCAGGATATCTATAAAATTAGTTACTGTGAATGTTCATTGAAGCAGTCAATGACTGACTTCTAACTTTTTTCCCTGAGGATGACTCAGTCATTTGCATCCTTGGGGCAGATTTACAATTTGAAGTGCAGAATATTTGACTCCTTGCTTGCCTTTACTCAACCAGTGTTATCTCTAGCCATCACCGTGGTAAAGAAACTGACACAAGCTTACCCCGTTGCACACTTTTGACTGTGCTCTACCTGTTTTAGCAAAGTAGCACTGAATGTAGCCTACAGCTTGAAAATTGAGACAGCTGAAACATAAATACTTTGTTAATCCATTAGTTTGCAACACAGAACATTGTTAAAACTGACTTGAAGTATACTTGTATCAATAAATACTGTCTCGTTTTCTAGGACTACTAGATTGAACTACCACTACAGTTGGTACCCATGTACTTTTATCTAACCTTGATTTTCAGTTAAAGTTCAGCTTAAGGCTTACCCTTTATCTGATTCCTAGGAAAACAAACTTAGAGCCGAAGCTAAAACTAGAAGAATTCAAACACTACCACCATATATATTTTCACTGAATTTCATGTTCTTCTCCTTTTGTTCCTTCCTTATCCTAAAGAACAATTATTAGTATATTCAGCTAATAATTACCTATAAGGAGATTAACCTCACAGATTTTCATTTTATTTTGTGAGTGAAGCAGGACTACAGAAAACCATTCAGGAAAGATGGTGATAATTTTTGTAATAAAACTTCATTGAAGAATTTTCTTCTAGATACTAATCCTATGTAAACCTCTCTTTACTTTTTAGTGTGTGATTTCCTGGGGGAAAAGATCGCATCTGTTCTGGGAATAAGCACACCAAAATACCAATATGCCATTGATGAGTATTACAGAATGAAGAGAGAGGTATGTGTGTGAGCTAGGGTTCTTGCACTCCTTCTCTCCCAATTTGTCTTCCCTGGTATTCTAAAAAATAGAATTTGTATTCTAGCATTAAAATGAAGTTTCAGACCCTCAATTTCAGTTTGCCTCCAGTCTTCATATGATGCATTAATATTTTCTTATCAATCAGCCTTTTCTCTCCAGCTCCTCAGTCTTAGAAACAGGTGCATCCTGACCTCTGCTCTGTTTCTCTTGTGCAATGCATTTTCAAGTCAACACTGTCAGAAAGCTGGACAGCTGCTGAACACTGTAAAGAGGTGTCTGCTAACAATACACTTTCCAACTCTAAAACTTGTTCAACAGTGTCAAGGGTAAAAAACCATGAAGTTACCATTTGTTCTAAAGCATAACAGGACAATACTGATAGGTAGCCAGTGCTTTAGGCAAAAAAAAACCCTAACCCTTAATAATCTCCATTTAAAAGAGATGGAAAACATATTTAAAGCTTTATTTATTTTTTTTTTAATTGAGAGCTGGGAAAGCTGCAGAAGAGGTAGACCCATCACTATTGCTATTAACTAAAGCTGCTTATCTAGATATGTGTCTTTTCTTCTGTGTTTGTTTAATGCAGTTTAATCCTTCACTTTTGGTGATTTTTTTTTTTTTTTTTTCCATAATGGGAGTTCCAGAATCTACCTCATCTTATGATCAGCAATAGTGACTGTTTTCTAGTGGAACAAAGGTCCTTACTTTGTAATAGCAACTGGTATGCTCTTATGGAAAGACTTCAAGTTAATCTAAGTAGTAAATAGTAAATAGTAGCATATGAATCTGGTTATCTCTTTCTAGGAGGAAGAGGAGGAACAGGAAAACAAGATGTCAGAAGAAGCAGAAAGACAGCATCAGGAACAGCAGAACAAGCCACAAGCTGAAGCTCCTGTCCAGACAGACCAGCCTGGAGCAACAGCATGCTCTTCATTTGAGAATGTAAACTTTGAAAATGAGGGAGATTGCCCGCCCATTGCAGAAAATAAACAAGATGTAGTTCCTGTCCCTCCTTAAGCGTAAAGCTCTGTATAATGTAGGAAATAAGAACTGTCAGGTGTCACAATCTGCCTATAAACAGGAAAAATAGGATTATGCTTGTTCAGTGAAATACAACTCTTATCATTCTTATTGATCAGGAGAGAGCTAGGTGATGTGTGTTCAGTCTGTCTGTCTAATAAAGGATGAGGCATTCTGCCAAATTGGCATTTCAGTTAAAAGGAAAATTGCACTACAAACATTTGGTCTGAAATTGAATGTGTGAGCTAATTTCTGTGTAAAGCAAGTAGAAATGTCTTTTCTTGGAATTGCTGTGTCTCTAACACCTGTGGTATGCAGAGGCAGTGCTGTTTACTACTTCTAAAAACCTGATTTGCACACTGTTTGCAACTCGGCTCTCTATGAATCGATTAATAGGAATTAATATCCTGTAACTCAAAAGTAATTATAATAGAGTCTTATGCCCCCTATTTATTGTCACTGTTGTATGCATGTATTTTTTTTTTCTGTTGTTAACATAAGAGAAAAATGTTAGATTTAATGTTAATTAGAATAAAGGGTCCACTGATTTTTTTTTTCCCACATAAAAATACCCCAACTTTCCAGAAGGCTATAAGCACCTGTAAGAACTTACTAACAAGTACCAGCACTCTTGGAGGCTAATAGTGCTCAGCTGCTCCGTTCAGTGCTGTAGCAAAGTTCAGAACTAACGTCAGTGTAGGCTGTTCTCACTCCAAGCTCAAGAATTAAGAGACCCATGTGCCTGAATGCATGCTCTCAGTGGTCCTGGGAAAGAAACTGAAGTCTTGCAAAATTATACTAAGTGCATTGGACACTCTATGTAGTACGGTCTAGAACTCTGAACCTTTTTGGACATGGATTACCCAAGCCTGTGTACTTGAGTAACCTAAACCAAGCATGTGTTGAATGTTAAATTACCAGTATGGGATGTTCTACTGCAGATGGTTTGCATCCTGTTAGCACAGAATACATAAAGAGCTAGGAACAACAAAACCAAACTTAGGACTCTTTCCTTCTCTAAAATAATGTGATGCGATACTGCACTGGCAACAACAGAAATTTTTATTTTTGTCTAAATGAAGTGCAGGAAGCTCCACATCTAATACCAATTAAGGCTATTTTACTGCTATGACTGTAGTACCTATAGCTTGTAAAAGGTGAATGGTTTACTTTTGAACAATCAGCTGTCATTGCCCCAGTCACTTTCTATGGACAATTGTTGTAGGTATAGGAGCAGAGAACCTGCACCAGTTACTACATAGAACTTTACTTCTGTCCTTGAGATTTCTAAAAAAAAAAAAAAAAAGAGTTGAAAATAGTCCTCAGTGAAATTGGGCTGTTGGGTATCATGATGTGTCCCTGGCCTTGCTCCCACTGCCAACTAAGGAACCTGATGTAACACCACAGGTAACTTGGCTCTTGGTGTCAGCAATTAACTATGTATTTCAGATGACCCTCTGCCTGAACTAATATCCTGTACAGCACAAACTCTTCCTCTCATATGTCTGTAGCTCTCCAGCACTACAGAAAATCTAAGGGGGAGGATTCAATCATGCACTTTAGAGTCCATCTCTTTTGGTACTCCATTCTTTGCCTTTTCTGAATTGTAAGACAGAGAGTGCTGACCACAGTGTAAAATCACTCCTTAGCCCTGAACATCTGTAAGGGAGAACACCTGGGGAATACACAGAAAACCAGCTTGTTAGGAGTTCTTATATCATCAAAGAAAAAAAATCTCTGAAAGCTTGAATAATACCTTGACAGCTGAAGGATATCTTGCTTTTCTTCCAAATTAATGTCAATTATTTTTCTTACCTCCATTCCCTACTATTCATTGCATAACAAATGCTCTCACTGCCTTTGTATAAAATACTGTATTACTCACTGTGCCTTAACTTAATCCTTCCTTTTTTTCAAGCTGTATGAAAGTGGTTACTTTCATATTGGTTTAATTTTTCTGTAAATGCATTAATTGGTTATTTTATATTTAATATAATTTTTGAACTGGAAGTTGGCTATGGATTTTCCTTTAAAACTGTGTAGTCTTTGAAACTTTATGCCTGTACGCAGGTGCATGTGCCTGTTTACTGTTTTCATCTTTACCCAGTCATAGATCCTGGTTGAATATTCAGGCACCAGAATTCAAAATATCATTTTACCCCCACCCCTTCCTTAGACTGTCATGTAGTACTCTGTGTTCAGCACTACCTCAAGCTAATAAATAATGCAGGATTGCAAACACTTCTGGCCTGGAGCTATTGTAATTCTGTCTGAAAGTTGAAACATTGCTGTGGCTTTCTTAAGGATTAAGAGAGTTTCACAGCTTTAACTACTGCTGTAGCTCAGTTGTACAATTAAGAAAGACTACATAAAATACTTGCACAGGAGGTTAACTTGGTGAAAGCCTCTGTACAGGTGCTTGCATTGGCTTTAACTAGATCTAAAGCTAGTGCAGTTTTATTTCTCTTAATGAACCTCTTAAAATTAGGTAACTATCCGGTTCAATTATTTACTTATCCTTCCTGTTACACACTTAAAGCTGGTCATGCATAGAAGAAAAAGGCCTAAATTCTTTACTTCTTCCTGAAAACTTTTGCCTTCACAACAGAATGCTCAACAGTGCTGTAATTAGAGGAAGCCATGCAGAATGGAGTGGGAGGCTTGGGATGGCTGAGCAGATACAGGTCAGGGCTGAAGATACCAAGAACCACATTCTTGCTTTTACTCAGGGTAAATTCACACTTGGAATAAGGTATTTAAATAAGAATAGGGCTTGGTACACATGAAAAAAAGTCCAAAAATATTTATTTAAAAAAAAATGTAACTTTTGCCTCTTAAACAACAGTTACTTTTTTGGTTTCAGGAATTAATTCTGTGACTCGTGTGTACCACATTTTATATCATATATGGGGCAAAGGAGGAAGGGAGAGAAGTAAAATGGAAGAGGAATTGATTCAGATAATGAATGATGCTGGCCCATCAGATTGAGATCTCCATGGATACAGTCTGCTCCCATTCAAAGTCACGTATCATCCCCATCAGCAGTGTTGTCATTATCGCTTGCCACAAGGACCTCTCTGTTCTCGTACGTCCAGAACCCATTCAGATCAATTAGAATGCTGGTAACAGTGTCTCCTTGACTGCTATTGATCAAGTCTTGAAGGGAGATTTTGTAAGGGTCCTTGGGCTTCACCATATCAAAGATTTCATCCTATGAAAGACAAGTCAAAATTAGGAGAAAAGCCCCCACACATTAATGAGCAGAATAATAGCTATTTCATACCATATACAGAATGATATTTGGGCAACTTGTGCCACCCACACCAGTTTACAAAAAGCAGCTGTTAAGCCCCAAAGCATTTAAGATACAAAGCACACTGATTGATTTGCTACAGTTCGGACAGTGTCCTCAGCTCCCACATCTCAAGTAAGAATTTGCTTTTCTGGGAAGGCTTTAGCCACAAAGTGGCAAAAAGAAATTCAGTTCACTTGTAGGAGTTAAATTTTGTGGAAGCTCTTGTACTTTCTTTATGTACTAAAACTGCTAAATATACAGTAGATAGTTATCAGTTTTATAGGCTTTTAAGTCACCAGTCTGCCCCCCATCCCCCAAGGAATGATCCTCAGAACTGTAAAATGCACTTAGCAAGTACCTTCAAGTGTAAGGAACAAAAACAGGTAATTTGTCTATTAAGAAAACTACTAGAACATATCAGTTATTTTACAGAGCAACTGCTGACTAGAAAGGCATTTTCAAATCTATGAGTAGGACAAGTCAGCTCATTTCTACTACTCTCCAAGTAAATATACAGCAACCTAGAAATTATGATGTAACATAATTAAATTATGAAATGCTTATTCAGAGATTTTATACAGTACTCCATTTGGCAGAGCTAACCTTGACATCCTGAAAAGAAACTGGTTCTTGTCCATGAATTTTCATTTGTTCCTGAATAGCCTAGAAAAAAGAGAAGTTGGGAATGGCTAGTGCAGTATACTATTGACACTGTATAAAAGTTGTTAAATGCTTCTGCATATTAAGCTGTATTACCCTCTAACAAAGCATTCATGGTACAATGAATGTACATGGTACAATGAGCTTGCAATCATTTTCCTTCCACATGTGAGGCAAAGATGAATTAAGGCATTATCAATGATATACATCTCTAGGTTCACAGTTCTTTATTAGTATGATATGAACCTCACTTTCATTATGAACAGTGTTTGAGCCATTTGCATATTATCCCTCAACACTCAAAACTTAAGATACTAATACTCCCGAACCATAAGGTTACATTTCTGACACAGTATGAAATATAGGCTAGGGAAAGAGAAGGAAAATGACCCATCAGCAGAAAGACAAATCAATTATTTTAATGTGGTACTATTTAAACATCTGCATCACCAAACCTAACACCTATGAACAGAACTGTTTCACTAGCACTAGCTGCACAGTCCTGTCAGCACAGCTTTGCCAGCACAGCCTCTGTAGGTGCAGATCTATTCACACTTAATGTCAGCAGAAAAGCAATCATTCACAGAGTCAAGAAGAACTGTTCTGATTTCAAGGAAAACTTACAATGTTCCATGTCCAAAAGGAGACTTGTTACAATACATAAGTAAGGTGGATATAAGATCATGCCTTGAGCAGGCCTGAATGCTTTACTGACTCAATGGTACGTACCTTGCTCCTCATCCTTCAAGCATACAGCTAAATACAATGACATTATTTATTTTCACAGGTCTAATACAAAGATCCATATAAAGAAATTTGGAGAGCTTGAGCCCATGTCTGAATAGATACTACTGAGGGAATCCTGTACATGAATAAACCATCAAGCTTGTAACTCAGCTGAAACTATCCACACCAAAAATACTATTTTACTGCATAGCACTTCTCTTCCCATATCTCAGGTAGCTATGAGAAAAACAAGATGAAACAACAAAACATGCTCTCTCTCCAAATCAAAATCACCACTAGACAGAAAGAAAAAAAAAACAACCAACAAACCAACAAAAACCCCATTCCACACAAACCACAGTTTGGAGGAAGATTTTACAATCTTAAGTTAATTTTAACAGCAACTAAAAAAATTAAGCTTAGTTTAAATCTATTTTGGAAGCAACAGGTACAAATGCATATGAAAAATGCAAGAAGCTTCTTGCAAGCAAAGCACTGGATGAGAAATCCCACAGCTATATATGCCTATCAATAAATTTCATTATTTTAATTTCTTTTAGTGAATTTTAGGATTACAGTTGAAATGAAAAACATGGACAATAATCAATTAGAACCATCATAAACTATTTTAATAGGTCATCCAATTTTAGGACAATTTTCAATAAAAAAAAACCTCAAATCAATAGAAAGTATTTTTCCTACTCAAAATCAAAACAGTCAATTTCAACTGCAGATAAACTTCTGAAAACACCTTTTGAAATCTTTCCAATTTTTGTCTATTTAAAAAAAAAAAATTAAATCTTCTTAGAAGTCATTACAAGCCTGCCTGTGGCTATAGGTAATTTGAAGTGATTTCCTGCAGATCTGCATGCAGAAGCACATAGGCTATAACACTATAAACACAGAAAATGGCCTACTTGTATAAAGAGACTTACCCTAAAGAAATAATTAAGGGAAAAGACATTCAGGTGTCCTTTGTTCTCTATATCAAGCAGTTTGAAAATATATTGCAGAGCTGCAGGCTCCTTTCTGTTTTCTAATGCAAGCACAAAGTCCAGGTAGGTTTTATAGTCCTAGAAGTAGATACAATCATGTTTATTACAGTCTTCTTTCTAAATTGATTCTGCAAGCAGGAACTCTATAATTGGCAGCTATTTCATTGTAGGGGATCAGTTTATTTTCTGAAAAAGACAACATGAAATAGAAAATGGCTGCTACCACTAATGTGCACAGAAAAGTTACTTTTTAATGACTGCTACTAATGGGAAATTCTGCCATTTTAGAGGCAAAATAGCATTCCAAGCATAAATCCAAAAGAAACATGCCATATATATGCTTTTAAACAATGTTTAATATATCTTTAAATTGCTGAACATACCCAACTAGTTAAGAAAAAACATATAAAATATTTCATTATTATAAATTGTCTAGTGGCAATAAGCCTACTGCTACCAAATAGTGAACGATATGGCCAATTATGTATATAATCCTTAGATCAGAGTCAGTGGTTTGGTAAATTACATACTAGAAATATTAGTGAACATTCCAAATAAGTATCGTTTTTATTTTTCATTAGTATGGATTCTTGGTTTCCCAATCAAGATACAGTTGTGACAAGGACAGAAATCCTACAGCCCTGTGTGTATAATTACCCTGTTTACCTGTAACACCAGAGAGTTGTGATGTCATTCAGAGGGAGCTTGACAGCCTGGAAAAACAGGCTACCATCAAGTTCAACAAAGGGAATGCAAAATCCTGCATCTGGGGAGGAATAACCCCACTGTAGAGCTGTAGAGCTGGAAGCTGACTAGTCAGAAAGCAGCTTTGCAAGAGGCCCTTGCAGCAAAGGCTGCTGCCAGCACCCTCAGCTGCATTAGGAAACGCTTTGGTGGCAAGTTGAGGAAGGTGATCCTTCTCAGCCTGCTTACACTATGCCCTGGCACTGGGTCCTGCTCTGGTCTCCCCCATACAAGAGAGAAGAACCTACTCTTGCAAGTCCAGAACAGGACAGCTAAGAGGATCCCTCATGACCTCAATGATTATGTGATTCTCACAAAAAAACTGCTCAGGGGCCAAAAGAACTGTGTAGTGCATTTGTAACATCACTTTAAACTCCAGTCCTCTGAATGCAGACAAGAATTGTGGCTGGACATTAAGCAAAGTTTCAAAAAATACAGATATAAGGTGTTATTTTAAATTAGTTAGACTTCTCGTTTTTCACAGCTATGGAAAGCTTACAATGAAAAACACAGTTGTCTTCATGAAGAAGTTGACAGCTTAGCTAACTTGGACTAATCTCAAGTGTGCCACTTGTCTTCGGTTCCCTTTAAAGCATTACATTTAACTAAAAAGTATTGCTGCATCTATACATTTTTTTCAACATGCACTTTCGTAACTGAATCTACAAGTGGCCTTATCCTAGGCTGTCTGGAGTCTATTACCTCAGCTTTTTCAAACAAGCAATTTATTTTTAGGCCATGCAGCAATCACCTTGCTCTTAAAAAAATTAAATTTTCAATATGTTGCATGGTCATCTGTGTGCACAGTGATAAATGGAAGT